TTCTGGCTTTATTGCGGTGATCAGAAATTTTTATCATATTCTCAATACTGAAATAATGGTAGTAGGCGCCTTTGTCTAGTTTCTGATTTTAATGAGTGTGTCTCCAGTGTTTTATTATGTACAATGTGTAGTTTTGGTTCCACTTTATGAATTTTAAAATGCTCTCAAATTACTAGATAAGGGTTTCCCACTAAACTGATTGGTATTGAAATTTAGAAATTTTTAATACATCTATTGAGATGCTGAACAGATTTCTCCTTAATTCTTAATACTTAAGGTCTTAACTTTGATCTACCTTTAAAAAAATTATTGTAAACATTTTTTGTTAAATATATTTTTTGTATACCACACTATTTGTTTAACAAAAGTGAGTATGGGTGTTGGCATCTGGTTACATAGACAAAATTGATCTATCGTTTCTTGCTTTGTATTTGTCAATTTTGGGGATACAAATTATACCAGCCTTGTATAACCATTAAGGAGGCTTTCTCTTATTTTTCAGGCCCTGTAGCAATTTAGGTATCACAGAAGTTATCTGGTCCTTGAAGATTTGACCTAACAGCCCAACTCTAAAACAATGTGGGCTTGATTTCTTTCGTGTTACCAGATTTCTCGGGCAAACTTTTAAGTTTTACAGAGTCTCTTCAGTTTTTCTGCCTCTGAAAGCAGTTCTGGTAGTTTATATTTTTCTAGATTATTATCTATCAGGATACCGTAGTTTATTGACAAAGTTATATGTGTTATCCTTCAAGAAATTTTGAAACATTTTTTTTCTGTATTATCACCTTTCTTATTTCTACCAGTGAGTTTTCTTCCCCTTTTTGGTCTTCCATCCAACTATATTCAAACTGGAGATATATATATTTAGAGAGAGAGAGAGAGAATCTCACTCTGTCGCCTAGGCTAGACTGCAGTGGCGTAGTATCGGCTCCCTGCAACCTCTGCCTCCCAGGTTCAAGTGATTCTCCTGCCTCAGCCTCCCAAGCAGCTGGGATTGCAGACGCCTGCCACCATGCCCAGCTAATTTTGTTTGTTTGAGACGGAGTCTCGCACGTGATCTCGGCTCACCACAACCTCTGCTTCCCGGGTTCAAGCAGTTCTCCTGCCTCAGCTTCCCAAGTAGCTGGGGTTACAGGTGCCCACCACCACACCCGGCTAATTTTTTCTATTTTTTAGTAGAGACAGGGTTTCACTATGTTGGCCAGGCTGGTCTCAAACTCCTGACCTCAGATGATCTGCCCACTTTGGCCTCCCAAAGTGCTGGGATTACAGGTGTGAATCACCGTGCTTGGCCTGGAAATTTTTTTGACTAACAGCCCAATAGATTTTGATATCTGATATTCCCATATTAGTACAGTTTTTTATTTCTTTGGCTCAAGAATAATTTAGAGCCATATTTTAAATTTTCTAAGTGTTTAGCTTGGAAGATAGCTCTATTTATGATTCCTGTTTGTATTACAGTGTGGTCAAGGAATATGGCCCACAGTATTTCAGTCCTCTGGAATTTGAAGTTTTCTTCATTTCTTAGCACTGTCAGTTTTTTAAAAATAACCCATAAGCATTTTAAAATACATATGAACTCTGTTAACCAACTTTATTTTAGAGATAAGACCAATCAGACTTAGAAGATTATGTGCCTTATTCTATGTCACAGTTAATTATAAATGACGTATCTAGGTTTTTGAATTTTAATTTCCTCAGTTTCCCATTAGATTTAACTGCCTCCAGAATATAAATATTTATATATTTGGTATCCTCATATGTGTGTGTGTGTATATATATATATAGAGAGAGAGAGAGAGGGAGTTTATATAAAAATTAAGTCAATAAGTTATAAATTTAGAATATGGTTTTATAGTATTATTTTGAAAAGTAGAGAAAAGTCTAGGTAGAATTTATTTGCATCTTTAGAACTGAACAAGGTCTGAAAAGCATGGCTTAAACTAATTTTACTGAATAGGTCATCTGTAGGTAGATGGGAAATGAACAAGAAAGGATATCACACCTAATGGAGAAGAAACAAAGGCATGTGTGCGTTTGTGAGGAGACAAGCCTAAAACCTAGATAGAAGGGAGATCCTTGTTGCAGGGTGATAGGAAATAAGACTGAATAAATGGCATTGAGCCTGATTAAAGGTGTAGTGAAAAAAGTTAAAAAAATGAAATACAAAGCAGTTCTGTCATCTAATGACTAGTGTCACATTTCATTTAGCAAATGCATGGTGATTTCATTGCAGTGTCTGTGATAATTAAAATAATTAGCATAGGCTGCCAACGGGATTCTGAGGAGGTAATATGAGACAAATATAATGTTAACTTTACTCGTAATGGCAGATTGTGTAGAACTCTGCTAAATATACCAGCATGGAACATCTGTTGGGAATTTGGATAAATATGATTCCAGTATATTTTAAAAGCCATAAAATTTCTTAATGAAGTTTATAAAAAATAATGAAGAAATGCATGTATGCTAGTAAAAATTTTTTGTGTGTGTTTGAAAAACAACTTCTAGAAATTTAGAAGTTAATTTCTTAAAAAGGAAGTGTATAAAAATAGTTAAGAAACGCATTTACCTGGTAAAAATGTTTTCTTGTGTGATTGAAAAATAGCTCCTAGAAATTTAGAAGTGTCTTTCTACCTCTGCTGGTTTAAACACCTATATATTGAAAATACTTTGGCAATTTGCTTGTGAAAATTAGGAGAATCTTAAATTCAGCAAAATCAAGAAGTGAACATATAATCTTAAAGTATAAGAGGTTATTATATATTTCAGTTCTATAATAGAAATCTGCTATTTATTAAAACAGCTTCTATTTTGAAAGTAGGTAGGGGATTGATGACCATTTAGTGGGATCATTCCATGTATGTAAACCTACAATATTATTTTAAGAGACTCGCTACAAATTTGTTTTATTTTGGTCATGCTATTTTAGACTAAAGTATGATGAATGAAATATTTGAATATTCTAAAAGTCTGTTACAGGTTGAGCATCCCAAATCCAGAATTCAAAATCTGAAATATTGCAAAATCCAAACATTTTGAGTACCAACATGATACTCAAAGGAAATGTTCATTGGAGTATCGTTGATTTTGGATTTTCGGATTCGGAATACTCAACCAGCATAATGCAAACATTCCAAAATCTGAAAAAAGTCTAAAATTGGAATCACTTCTGGTCCCAAGCATTTCAGATTAGCGACCTGTAGCCTGTGACAATCATTGTCTAAAGTTCGTATCAACAAGAACAGTAATTGAATTGTTAATGTTTTAGATTTATTCTCAAATTCAGTATACTTCGATTATTATGTTGTGCCCCCCCCTTTTTTTTTTTCCAAATTTGGATAATAGGAAGATTTTTAATGAGTTCTAGGCGAAGCTTATGTGTGCTAACTAGGCACACAGTGAGCATTGGTAATCTTATATATTAAAATACAGTTGATATTTATGGCTGTTATTTATTCACATAAGACTTTGGAATGACATGTATATCCTCAAAAAAAACGTCAGTTTTTTTCAAGGGAAAAGTATTTTAGAATAATTTGTTTCCTTATTCTATTTATAATCTTAGGCTGCATAGAAAGAACATATTAGCCTTCCTTTTAATGAAGTATGATATTATGTAACTAGAATATTTCATTTAATGTTTATCAGTTATTTTTTCTCCCATCTGTAAAATACAATCATATAGGTCATAACATCTAGATATCAAAGAATTACTTAAGAAAGGCATGCACTTTTTAAACTAAAAAAACTTTTTAATTGAATGGATTTTTTGTAATCTTGCCTGAAGCTCAAAATGTTTATGCTTGTTAGAGCTAGAATTTACATGTAAGTATAATATAAATGAATATGAAAAGCTTTATCTTAATCATATGGTCCTCTTGTACATAGCAGTATTTGATGTGTAAGTCTATATATATTTCTCTATGGTCAGATATTTTCTGGATTTTGCTTGTGTATTAAAACATGCATTAGTCTTTGTTATTTCCCCTTATTATTGTATGAGATATTCTTGTTAAAACTAAGTTTAAACCTCAAGGTAATAATAGTGATGATATATAACCGTTATTATTCTTACATTAATAAAATTTACATACTGTTGAAGCAATAAGTACTTCTTTTTGTGATAATTATAACCCCAGGGCTTGATGTTACATTCCTTATTTGTGGGCTATTCAGCTAAAAGTTAATTTCAATAATACGACTATGCATTTAAGAACAATTTTCTTTCAGATTTGAGTATTGTTGGAAGCTATATATCAACTCTAGAATTTTCTTATTCAAACTGATGCCTAGAAAGGTAAAACAGAATGGGAAAACTTGCCGTCTCCATCTTATAATGTCTGTGAATAGACTTGGACTAGGCTGTGATAAATTTTACAAAATTACTCACATTGTAAGTTTAGACATGTTATTTTACCACTTTCATGTGTGGAAACAAAAAGAACATTTATATAGTGAAGGGATAAAGAAGGGCCTTTGTGGCCAGGCACAGCGGCTCACACCTGTAATCCCAGCACTTTGGGAGGCTGAGGCGGGCAGACGATGAAGTCAAGAGTTTGAGACCAGCCTGGCCAACGTAGTGAAACCCCATATCTACTAAAAATACAAAAAATTTAGTTGGGCATGGTGGCAGGTGCCTGTAATCCCAGCTACTTGGGAGGCTGAGGCAGGAGAATAGCTTGAACCTGGGAGGTGAAGGCTACAGTGAGCCAAGATCGCACCACTGCAGTCCATCCCAGGGGATAGTACGAGACTTCATTTGAAAAAAAAGAAAAAAAAATAGAAGGGGCTCTGTGATCAGTTATTCAGGAAATACTTTGATATTGTGGAACATGGGACTGTGTTCTTAGATGTACCGCCTTGTTTGTAATACTTTAAAAGCCAAAAAAAAAAAAAAGAAAATATTTATATGCAAGAAGAATTAAACTTGTAATATTGAAGGATTTTTAGGTGTTTAAATAATTAACCAAAATTGTCATTTTCATTGCATTTTCCAGGCAATTAAGTTGGAATATGCAAGGTTGGTTAAGTTGGCCCAAGAAGACACCCCACCAGAAACCGACTATCGTTTACATCATGTCGTGGTCTACTTTATCCAGAACCAGACACCAAAGAAAATCATTGAGAAAACATTGCTAGAACAATTTGGAGACAGAAATTTGAGTTTTGATGAAAGGTAATTTAAAAATATAAAATTCTTATGCTAAAAGTGTTCTTTTTTTTTTTCATGCAGATTCCCAGGATAATTTCTTGAGTATTTATTTTATATATGCATGGGTACATATTTTAATAAATACATAACAATTTGAACTCAATGTGAACAGTTGCTGGAGTCTGTGGCCTTTTGAAGTTTGAACTGAGAATAACTTAGATCATTTTAATAAATTTTAATTGTGAATCAATCACTGCACTTACTACACTCAATATTTTAGAAACAAAAATGGGCTTCTCAACCTCTGTACTATATACATAGTTTAAATTAGATAAATCTTTGTTGTTGGGGCTGCCCTTTGATTGTAGGATATTTGATAATATCCCTCATCTCTTTGTTAGATGACAGTAGCAGCTCCCAAGTTGTGGCATACCAAAATATCTCCAGGTATTGCCAAATAACTCCTAGGGAAGCAAAATCACCCTTATTAGAGAATCACTGGAGAAAAGGTTTTAGTCTTGCAGATAAAATATAAACATTCTTTGACGTAAGGAGGAGGCTTAGAAAGGTTAAATTAGATGCACGCAGAAACATTTTCTCTGGAAAGAAAATATTCTATAGAAATTTCTGTAGAATTTCTGTAGAATATAGAAAATATTCTATAGAATATTTCCAGAGAATGTTTTTTCTGGATTATTAGTTTTATAAAGAATTATTCAGAAAGTCCTATAAAACTACTAATGTTAAAAATCACAATTTCATTAGAATGAATGACACTAGGAGACAATTTTAGGGCCCATGTGAAATATTAGAGTATTGAAAGTTATTTTCGTATATAAAAACATTGATGCTGTCTTGCAGTTCATTGTAATTTTAATTCTGAAATGATTATCCTTTTATGAATGTCTCAAAAATACTGAGTTAAAAGTGTGTAGTGAAGAATATGAGGGGAAGCAAAGCATCTGGATCAATCCTATCTTGCTAGGTATGTGCTGTGAAATGTAAGATTCTGTGCTAATACAAATAAATAGTTGTGAACAATATCTGATAGATGGTTGAATGCTCAATGAATGTTGGCCACTACTATTTGTATTAGTAGCAGTATGGACATGATTTATTTTGATACATATGACTGCAGAGAGTCAGAAATAGGGTTGTTGTGACCCTCGTTATCGGTGCTATCAGTGTACTGAGTTCCACTGGATCTATGCTGTTTAATTTGGAGAAGATACTAATGGAGTAATCACATTGACTTTTCAATCTTTTGCAATTATCTGACTATAACTAGTTAATCTGTTTTGATAACCTTACTTGTGCTTGAAAGACAGAGTTATACGCCTGTGAATAAATATATTTTGTAAGGATTTCTTTGTCACTGATTCTGATCATAAAATCCACTGGAATGTTTCCATTTTTACCTGAGATAATAGGCACATTTTAAACTCTTTCTTTTTAGTATTTAAGAGTAAATATGGGGCGGGGGGAGAAGATGCGGTGGCTCTTGAGCTTGGTTAATAGATGCACATTATTTTTTAAAAGTTTCATTTTTTTCCTATGCAAACTGTGTTAGTTAGAATGTAATTTAAAAGTCATATATCAATACAACACAGTAAATTTGAATTAGAGTTATTGCTCCTATCTTCTTTGTAATTCTCCAACATTGGTCCCAAAAATATTTTTCCCTTAAGGTTATTTAGAAGTTGTTTCTATAAAAAAGTATTGCTATTTTTGCTCAGTGTTTATGGCTTTTGCTTTTGATTTACAAATATATATATATACACACACACATATATATGTTTTTTTTTTTTAAGGTGTCACAACATAATGAAAGTTGCTCAAGCCAAACTGGAAATGATAAAACCTGAAGAAGTAAACTTGGAAGAATATGAGGTAATGTGCTTTTTTAGAGGTAAAACTACAGATTTAGGGATTCTGTAATTCACTGATATTCCTTTCATTTCAGCCCAACGGAAGTAGAATTTGTTATGAATGATGAGTAAAAAATTATGTTTCCAGGTCAATGCTCAAGTAATTAATAATTTTATAAATGATTTTAGGATTAACATGATGTGATAGCATGTAGACCAAAAAGTTTAAAATCAAAAAAGGAAGATTTTTGGTTTTCTATTTCAATGCTAGTTCTCAACTACTTTTTAAATGAACTTTTCTAGCTTAAAAACGAAGTAAAAATACATTGTTAATTTTGAAATCAACTTAGAAATTGCTGTTACATAATATTAACAAGTAATATTTATCAAGAGCCTACTATTTGCCAGGCATTTTTCTTTCTTTCTTTCTTTCTTTCTTTTTTTTTTTTTTTTTTTGAGACGGAGTCTTGCTCTGTCGCCCAGGCTGGAGTACAGTGGCGCGATCTCAGCTCACTATGCCAGGCATTTGTCTAAGCGCTTTACATGTATTAACTGATTTAATTCAGACAGTAACACTGTGAGGTGGATTGTGTTCTTATTCCCATTTGACACACGAGAAAATAAGGCATAGAACAGTGAAGTAACCTGCCTAAGGTTTTCACAGCCACAAGTTCACAGCTTGGCTAATAGAACCTACTTTAACTGTTGCACTACACTGTGCAGCTGTACACTGTGGGCTATATTTTTTCCTCACTTTGATTCATCAGATATATTTTGAGGAAGTTAGAGATTCATTTTAGTCACTATATGCCATATATATTTGTCATTATGAGACAGTGTTGTGTGTGAGAGAGCATGTACATAGGTACTTGTGTTTGTGGGATTTTTTTGTGCACAAAATTCTTTTTGTCAACTTTGGCTTTAAAATACTCTTTATTTTAATTGATGAATTCATACACCTAGTATTTCTTCAAGTTTTTAAATTTAACCTTATACATTGTCTTTTTTAAATTTACAAGTCTAGCAAATTTTACATTGTGGGGTGCGTTTGCTTAATATTTGGTTCCCTTTACAAACCTAATTATGGCACTTTAGATTCCCTGAACAATTAGTGTAATTCACTACATAGAGAAGAGGAAAGATAGAGCAAACACTCATTATTGATGAAAACCTTAGCTAGTTTGGCATATAAAGTAACTACCTAATTCACTAAAGAGTGTCTCTAAAAACAAAAATAAGAAATAATAAAACTGCAGCAAATATATAGAATTGTGAGCATTGAAAGCTTAAAATTTTTCTTATCAAAAACAAGGCAACGAGAATAAGTGAAAAGTAAAATATTGGAAAAGAGAAACAAAGACATTATTTGTAGTTTTTTTAATCTTGAAATTCAAATAAAATCTACAACTGATTTATTAGAACTAGTAAGAGAGCTTTGCAACATGCACACTTGTGTCAGATATCAGTTTTATTCCATTATGCCAGTAAAAAAGTGAGACCATTTACAATAGTATCTGAAACTATGGAGTATATAGAAATAAATTTAACAAAAGGTGCAGTTGACTTCTGTGGGGAAAATTATAATACTTATCAGGAGACATTAACAAAGACCTAAATAAATGGGCATACATATGGTATTTGGAAAACTTGATATTATTAATATATAGATACCACTTTTCCCCCAAATGCTTTATAAATTCAGTGTAGGCCATATCAAAATTCTAGCAAGATGTTTTATGGAGCTTGATAAGCCGACTGAAAAATGTTATGGAAATGCAAAGATCCCAGTCCACCTCCTATCTCTGACAAGCAAATTAGTGAACAGTAGAAAGACTTTTTAATAAATAGTTGTGGAAATAAAGTTTGATTTCTTGTTCATTCCATATGCAAAAATTCATTTCAGTTGTGAAATGCTCCTGTGCAAAGCTGTTTAGAAGTCAACATAGGTAGAAGCCTAAAGACACTCATTTATCCATAAAAGGCATTCATTGACCAGATATTTTTGACCAGGATATGTAATCTAGAGCCAGAGAAATTCAAAATCTGTTTTATCTTGACCCTGAGGAGCAAGTGAAGTCATCTTTTAGTTAATAATGACTCCAAATCTGTACCCTTCCAATTGATTGAGAGCTCTACCCTTGTCCCCAAGATTGGTGTTCATGGGACTTGATTTTTAATTGTGACTTGATTCTGCACCACTTTCTTTAGTTTGCTTCAACGGACTGACTCATCATATTTTTATTCACAAACCTTCTCATATTCTAACTGCAGGGCCATTAAATCATACAAGTATTTAAATGACTTGTTTTTAGAGTCTGCATATTCCTCATATTTTTGGTCTTGCTCTAAGTTCAGGGTTCAGCAAACCATAGCCTGCAGACCAGCTTACCAACTGTTTTTGTAAATAAACTTTTATTGGAACATGGTCATTTGTATACATACTTTCTGTAGATACTTTCACACTGCAGTTACAGAGTTGAGTAACCGGAGATGAGGCTTGCAAAGTCTAAAACATTTATTGTCTGACCTTTTACAGAAAAAGTTTGCGTACTCACAACTTCCAAGGCAATTCTGATGACAACAAGGAATGACAGTTTGAATACCTTCCCCAGAAGAGCTAACTTTATTCTTGCAGGACAGATTTTACCTTTATTTGTTATTAATATCTAATAGCATGAAAATTATGTCTTGAAAATTGAAATTAAGGCTGGGTGTGGTGGCTTATGCTTATAATCCCAGCACTTTGGGAGATCAAGGCACAGGGAGTTGCTTGAGACCAGGAATTTGAGACTGGCCTGGCCAACACAGCAAGACCCTGTCTATACAAAACAGATTTAAAAATTAACTAGAACTGGAAGCGTGCACCTGTAATCCAAGCTACTTGGGAGACAGAGGTAGGAGGATTGCTGGAACCCAGAAGGTTGAGTCTGCAGTGAGCTGTGATCATGCCACTGCACTGCAGACCGGGCGACAGAGTGAGAGCCTGTCTCAAAAAAGAAAAAAAAAAAAAAATTTATATTCAAGGAGAATATGGTTGGCTAATAACGTGTCTGTGTTTCTTATTTTTGTTTATAATGTTTATATAAAAGCCTTAACACTTTTGTTATCAGTATTCTCTTTCCAATTTGTCTTATACTGAATTTCAGTTATTTTTCTTGAGTCAATTATTATAAAGTAAGTTAAGAAAATCTTGACTTCATTCTCTTTAAGAGTTACAGGATATCACCTTAGAATTATTTAGTCCTATTACATGCCCTGTAGTTGTTTGGGGGGTGGGGAGGGGCACTGAAATATGAACTGCAGCTGTTCTTTCACCGTATCTCATGTAAATAAACTATTCACCTACACACTTAAATTTACCACACATTTGCAAAGTTAAAAGGTTAAATAAATCTATCATAACTTTTTTTTAGTTTCTTAAAATTATGTATCAAGTATAAGTGTTCAAGCTTTGGTTCATACTCAGTGTAATAATTTCATATTCTTCCATGAGTTGATGTAGATACAATAATATTTCAATAATACGATTTTATACTGATGAATTTTTGAGATGACCTGATGGATTATCCTGCCTTTATATTTGTTATCTGCTAGTAAAATCTTTAATTTCATATCAATGCCTAATAATTTTTAGATTTAATGTTATATTAATAAATAGTCTTGTGTGCCAGAAAGTAAAGTCTTATTTTAGTTCTGATATATCTTCATTTTGGACTCTTTGTTTCTATTAATTCAAATAGTAGCAGAATAGTGTATTATTTTTGAACAGTTTCATAGTAGTTTTTAAATCTTATTTTGAACATTTTTAATTTTTCTTTCACTTACAGGAGTGGCATCAGGATTATAGGAAATTCAGGGAAACAACTATGTATCTCATAATTGGACTAGAAAATTTTCAAAGAGAAAGGTAAGGCAAAGTAGACAAATATGAAAAGAGCATAATTTTTGCACTTAATTCTATTCAGATATGACCTCATCCATGGAAAAGATTGTATTCACACACTGTATTTTTAATAAATGTTTTATTTTAGATCAGTTTTAAATTTACAGAAAAATTGCAAAGTTAGTGTAGAGATTTCCCATTTACCCCACATAAAATATATTTTCCATTAAAAAATCCATAAGGTCGGCATTAGTGTCTGTGTTTGTCAGCTCTCAAATACTACACTTGAGGCTGAGTCTCATCTTGATAGCACATTGGAGTGTTTTCTGTCTGTCTTTGTGAACTTTCAGGTACTATAAAAAGTGTAGCTGTAGAAAATTTTTGAGTACTGTGACTTTAAACAAATTTTGTATTAATTTTCATTTAAATTAAAGATAATCTTAAAGGAATATCTACTTATTTAATTAAACAATTATTTTAATTATTAAGAAGAAAGGATACATTTTGCTTTACTTACATTTTAGAATATTTACTAGTTTGCATGTATTTCTCCACTTATTTCTTAATGCATGTTGTTTAGCAATAACTTGACTAGTGATTGTTTGTTGAGGAAATGCTTTATTTTTGATGCAGTGTATATTGCAGCCAAATAAAAGGGATATTGAATTTTTCCTTTTTTTTTTTTTTTTCTTAATGAAGTTTAAGAAGCTCCCACTTAGGTAATGATGCTTCTTTTTCAAAAAACAAAACAAAGATCAATGTTTAATTCTGGAGTTATACTGTCCAACATAGTGGCCACGTGACAAAACTTAAATAACTGACAATTTTAAAACCAAAGTTCAGTTCATCAGTTACACCAGCCACATTTCAGTAGTTCAGTAGCCTCACGTGGTTAGTGGCCTCTATTTTTAGCCAGCATAGAACATTTCCATAATCACAGAAATTTCTACTGGACAGTACTATTCTAGAGGACAGTACTTTCATTTTTATATTAATAGTTATCAAAAATTTTAAAGTTATCACACAAAAGGAAAAAGTAATGTTTTACTTAACAATTTATCTTAAGTACTTAAGTACAGATTATTTAAAGTCCTAGTCATTGTGCTGTTTATAAAATAATTTCGCTTTGGTCATTGATGTAGGACACTTATTTTGCTCGATACCACCATTTTATAAGTTATGTCCGTCAAGATTGTATTTCTTTAATAGGAATATTCAGATGTACTAGAATTTATAAGCTTTGTGCTGATTTGAGAGAAATAATATGATTGTATAATTCAATAGAGTAAGATTAAAAAAAGGCATTTCAGTGTTACTGATAAATCAGACTTCACAGAGATGTAGTAACTTTGTCAAGGTCAGGCAGCTAACTAGGAAAAGAAAAATTAAGAGACCTCGTATTCTTGTATAATTTAATGAAATCATGTAAATACCAAATGTATACATTTATCTCAGTAAGAATTAAAAAGATGAAACTGCCACTTTGTGTCTGTCTGCATAGCTTCTGTATTAGCTGTTCCCAGTTAACATATCTTAAAGGAATTTGAGATATAACTTGGAAATATGTTTAAATATTATAATTTGCTTGTCAGTTTTCAAATAGATGCTTATTCAGAAAGCTAATATTCTAGTATAGTAAATGCTTATCAAATTAGGAGGATTAACTAGAAAATCAATGGTGACAGATATTACTTATGGAATATCTTTTAAAGAAATAGTGGTGTGTGCGACTGTAATCCCAGCTACTCAGGAGGCTGAGGCAGGAGAATCACTTGAACCTGGGTGGTGGAGGCTGCAGTGAGCCATGATCACACCAGTGCAGTCCAGCCTGGGTGACAGAACGAGACACTATCTCAAAAAAAAAAAAAAAGAATTTTTTTTTTTTACTGTAAATATAGCAGTTATTGTTGCTGGCTGTGTATAAAATCTTGCCTAAAGGTTCTGTCAAAATTGTTTCTAATGAAAATGTAAACATTTAAAGCCTTGAATGAAGTACTTACTGATGGACCCTTGTGAGTCCTGAGAATAGTGAAGTGAAATCTATGATTTCAAGAACCAGCTAATTTTTTTTTTTTTTTAATGTTTTTGTAGAGATGGTGGTCTCACTCTGTTGACCAGGCAGGTCTTGAACTCCTGGCCTCAACTGATCCTCTCACCACCACCTCCCAAAGTGTTGGGATTACAGGCATGAGCCACCGTGCCCCACCCCTTTTCTTCCTTTTTTAAAATCTGATTTGAACTTCATAATATCTAGACTTATATTAATACAACACATATGCCTAATTCTATCACGTTTTTTTTTTTTTTTTTTGAGACGGAGTTTTGCACTTGGTGCCTACGCTGGAGTGCAGTGGCGTGATCTCAGCTCACCTCAACCTCCACCTCCCGGGCTTCTCCTGCCTCAGCCTCCCGAGTGGCTGGGACTACAGGCATGCGCCACCATGCCTGGCTAATTTTGTATTTTTAGTAGAGGTGGGGTTTCTCCATGTTGGTCAGACTGGTCTCAAACTCCTGATCTCAGGTGATCTGCCTGCCTCGCCCTCCCAAAGTTCTGGGATTACAGGCGTGAGCTGCCACGCCCGGCTTCTATCAGCTTTTTTATGTTTGGGGGCTTTTTGTTTTTGCTTTATTCCACTAGGTTTCCCAGATTTAGAAGAAATCTTTCATTTTCCACTTCCTCTCTTTCCTTTAGATCTTCTTCTTTCTGTTTTTTTACATTTTTCCCAATAACTAAACCTGTCTGCACATAGAAAAGAACCTACGTTGTCGTTGAACAAACCAAATGATGTTTGTGATCATAAAACAGAGTAACCTGAGTTTTTCCTTCATGCATGTGGGACACTGCGTTCAACAAGTAGATTGTTGGTTTCACATTAGCTTCAATTCTGAGTTCAAATGGAAGACATTGGAAAATAAATACCAAGGAAGACAGAACTATCCGAATTTGTCCGTTATTGCCTCTTTTCCCAGATTTTTTCTTAATTTGTAGCTCCTATTTTATTTTTTACTTTTAAGATATAACTGTCTCTGGGTTTCAGATGATAACTGTTGCTAAAAAGGTGCTCCCAAGCATACACTGCATCCGATGATATTTTTTATTATAATGTAGATTATCAAAACTTAAGCATATACTTAAAATGTTTTATAATTGTAGCTGACTTTGTTTCTACAAAGGTGAAATACTAATGTTATATGTTTCTTTTTAATTTTCAAGTTATATAGATTCCTTGCTGTTCCTCATCTGTGCTTATCAGAATAATAAAGAACTCCTGTCTAAAGGCTTATACAGAGGACATGATGAAGAATTGATATCACATTATAGGAGAGAATGTTTACTAGTAAGTTGAATGCATATAGTATGATCTTACCATTTTGTCTGACATTGGGCAAGTTTTCCAGACTCATATATAAGTGATGACTACATAAACTCTGATGGGATAAGAACATGATGATGTCTATAAACTGGTTCTAATCCCTTCAGATGGCAAAGTGCACTCAGTTATTTATTCTTTCCTCTTTATGAATCCCAAGTACTATAGGTGATAAATGAGAAGTGTTCTTAAAATAGCATCAGTTTGTTTACATTTCTGTATTTAGATTTCTTTATCACACTACCACTCCTTTTTTTGGTGGGAGAGGAAGGGATGCATAGATAAGTCTTTAAAAAAAGTTTTATGTAAGTCTATAAGAATATGCAGTCTGGGTGCGGTGGCTCACACCTGTAATCCCAGCACTTTGGGAGGCTGAGGCTGGTGGATCACTAGGTCAGGAGAACGATACCATCCTGGCCAACTTGGTGAAAACCCGTCTCTACTAAAATACACACAAAAATTAGCCGGGCGTGGTGGTGCACGCCTGTAGTCCCGGCTGAGGCAGGGGAATCGCTTGAACCCAGGAAGTGGAGGTTGCAGTGAGCCAAGATCGCGCTACTGCACTTCAGCCTGGTGACAGAGTGAGACTCCATCTCAAAAAAACAAGAATATGCATAGAATGTGTCAGAGTAATTTCTGTTTAACCTAAAAAAAATTGAATTTTGAGATATAAGAATAGTATAGCTGATTTTAAACATAAATACTACCAAAACCTGATGGTTCCTCTGAAACATTCAAAAAATGATATGATGTTTCTCATCATTTTTTGATAGTAACCTAACCACATTTGGTTATTTGTTTTACATAGGAATTTAAATGAAACCTCATCAAGATTACTTTAGTGTTCCTTTCAGGTTTATTCATATTATATATTTACAAAGTGTTAGGTTCTGAGGGATACAAATATGAGTAAGATGTACTTCCCGTCCTCAGAAAACTCAGTCTGATAGGAGAAATACAGAAATAATTGTTATGTTCTGGAATAAGTGTCATTATGAGAAATATGCACAGTGATATGCCTGAAATATTTGGGAAGAACCTTAAGAGAGAAGGTTCTTAAGATCTCATCTGAATCTTGATGGATAAATAGGAGTTTTATTCATGATAGAGAAGGGAGAATATTCCAGTGCACAACAGAAAATAAAGATAAATTCATTGTGGCTATCCAGGTTATGAGGAAGTGGGGTAAGGTGGAAGTGATGAAGCTGACAATACTTGTCGATATTGGTCAGATGATAAAGAAACTTATATGACATTCAGATGAGTTTGCACTAGTGTCAGTTTGATTAGGTTTGGCATGATGAGGTTTGTTTTCAGAAGATAATTCTGGTAATAATAGCATACTAGAGGATGAACAGGAACGAAGTAGATTGAAGTCAAGAACCTTAGAGGGGAAAGTCAAGGGATGGAGAGTGAGGGCCTCGACTCATGTAGTACAGTAGGTATGATGGTGAAGGAAATGAAAGCAGGGCATGTCATAGCTGTTGGGTGAGTGGAAAGAAGGAAATGGAAGAGTCAGAGCTGCCAAACTTTCTAGTTTTTCATTTAATATTAGGGAATCTAATAGGAGGAACAAGGTTGGCTTTGAACATGTTATATTTAAGAGATTTCCAAGACATTGTTTGATTCAGTGAACTTAACATTAAACTTGTCATTAAATTTTATATCTCATTTAATGCATACTTCCAAAAATTGTAATAAATACTTGAAGATTTATCTCATTTTATTCTCTTAACCCCTATGGTAGGAAGATAATAATACCCTATTATTAATGTAAAGAAAGTGAAGCTACGAGATTTAGCTAATCTGTTCCCGATTGGTGTATTAGTCCATTCTCACAGTGCTATAAAGATACTACACAAGACTGGGTAATTTTTAAAGGAAAGAGGTTTAATTGACTCACAGTTCCATACGGTTGGGGAGGTCTCTGGAGACTTAAAATGATGGCGGAAGGTGAAGGGAAGCAAGGACCTTCATCACATGGTGGCAGGAGAGAGAAGTGCAAGCAGGGGAAATGCCAGATGCTTATAAAACCATCCGATCTCAAGACTCACTTCCTGTCACAAGAACAGCATCGGGGAAACTGCCCCTATGATCTGATCACCTCCCACCAGGTCTCTTCCTCGACACCTGGGGATTACAATTCAAGATAAGATTTGGGAGGAGACACAAAGCCTAACCGTATCAATTGGGTAATTGATTCATGGCCAAGTTGGACTTACAGCGCAAGGTTCTTTCCAAAATCAAAATAAATTGCACAAGAATTACGGTGTAAATATGTAAATATTTTTATTTGAAATTCAACTTTCAAAGTCACATTTATCATGCTGTAAACATAAGATTTTAAATAAGAATGCTTAAATATTATAGGTCTTATACCTGTATTTATCTCTTACGTTTCTTATTACATGGATTTCTCTGTTCTACTAGATCAGTGATCAGCACACTATGGCTTGTGCTCCACCTACCACTTGTTATTATAGATAAGTTAGATTGAAACATAGCCATGTACATTCATTTATATATTATGTATTATTGCCTTTGTACTACAAGCAGAGATGAATAGTTGCAACAGAAACTTTGTGGCCTTCAAAGCCTGAAGTAGGCCTTGTCTGGACCTTCACAGAAAAAGTTTGCCAATCCTCTTACAAATTGTAAGCTCCATGAGAGTTTTCTGTATTAATCACTTGAATGCCCCTGCATCTGGAAAAATTTCTGGCACATGGTGTTTACTCTGTAGGAAGTTTTTGAAGGGATAAGTGAATTGATTACCTTTATATTTCTGTATCAAGGAATACAATAGTATATATTCAGTTGCCATTTATGGAGATGAGTTTTTCAAAAATTAATATGGATTCTGAATTTCTTTATTTTTAAAACAATTATAAGTGCTTATAAAATTTTATAATTGGGGGAAGTTAATCTCTAGAGAAGAAAAAATGGCCCCTGTATTGATGATCAACATAAGCCAAACAATAGTGAAAAACACAATAATGTTCCATCCACCAGTGTTTTGCTTTTGTTTCTGTTGTTGTCATATGCATAGCGTTTTCTAAAGAGAGGTTTTCAGTTCTAGGTAGGTTGAGATTGTTTTCTCTAAATACTGTTTGTTCTAATACTGTTTGTGAACATATTTATGTTGTCTTCCTTATTAATACTTACAGATGTTTAATTTAAAAGAAACAAAAACATATTCTTTTTTTTTTGCATTGCATTAAGAAATTAAATGAGCAAGCCGCAGAACTCTTCGAATCTGGAGAGGATCGAGAAGTAAACAATGGTCTGATTATCATGAATGAGTTTATTGTCCCATTTTTGCCATTATTACTGGTGGATGAAATGGAAGAGAAGGATATACTAGCTGTAGAAGATATGAGAAATCGATGGTGTTCCTACCTCGGTCAAGAAATGGAACGTAAGTTTAAACAATGGTAGTAGGCACCTGAGATGTCGGGATTAAACGCAGTTAGAATTAGATGTTATTTATTCTTGCCATTTTTTTTTTTTTTTTGGAGACGGGGTCTCGCTCTGTCACCCAGGCTGGAGTGCAGTGGCCGGATCTCAGCTCACTGCAAGCTCCGCCTCCCGGGTTCACGCCATTCTCCTGCCTCAGCCTCCCGAGTAGCTGGGACTACAGGCGCCCGCCACCTCGCCCGGCTAGTTTTTTTTTGTATTTTTTAGTAGAGACGGGGTTTCACCGGGTTAGCCAGGATGGTCTCGATCTCCTGACCTTGTGATCCACCCGTCTCGGCCTCCCAAAGTGCTGGGATTACAGGCTTGAGCCACCGCGCCCGGCCCTATTCTTGCCATTTTTTATATTAAATATAATATTAAGTATTATATTTAATTTCATATTCACATTACTCTTTTTCCATATTGATGAGCTAAGCTGGGTGCATTGCAGTTGCCATTTGTTTTTGTCTCCCCAAAATGGCAATTATCTTACCTATCACGGCAAGTTAATATTAGTAAATCATGTTGACAATGATCATGTCATAATTTCTATCTTTAGTTAGATTTAATTGTTTGTATTTGCAGCACACCTCCAAGAAAAGCTGACAGATTTTTTGCCAAAACTGCTTGATTGTTCTATGGAGATTAAAAGTTTCCATGAGCCACCGAAGTTACCTTCGTATTCCACGCATGAACTCTGTGAGCGATTTGCCCGAATCATGTTGTCCCTCAGTCGAACTCCTGCTGATGGAAGATAAACTGCACACTTTCCCTAAACACACTGTATAAACTCTTTTTAGTTCTTAACCCTTGCCTTCCTGTCACAGGGTTTGCTTGTTGCTGCTATAGTTTTTAACTTTTTTTATTTTAATGACTGCAAAAGACAAAATGACTATACAGACTTTAGTCAGACTGCAAACAATAAAGCTGAGAATCGCATGGAGCTCAGACTTTGTTTTAACCGGAACTGATGTATAATCACAGATCTAATTGATTTTATTATGGCAAAACTATGCTTTTGCCACCTTCCTGTTACAGTATTACTTTGCTTTTATCTTTTCTTTCTCAACAGCTTTCCATTCAGTCTGGATCCTTCCATGACTACAGCCATTTAAGTGTTCAGCACTGTGTACGATACATAATATTTGGTAGCTTGTAAATGAAATAAAGAATAAAGTTTTATTTATGGCTACCTATGTGTTTGTAAGCAGGTATATTGTATATTAGTGTATTAGTAATAATATATACATGAATTTTGTCTGGGGATTAAGATTGGACAATTAATAGATTAATACAGTCTTGATTCTGCTCTAATGGTAGCAAATTGGAAAATGTTTAAGTATTTGACACTTAAATTTATCTATATTTTTAACAAAATTCTTAAACTTAGTATGGCACCTGAGCTTGTTTTGAATTCGGTCAGGGTTTTTACTCAAGCAAGTGGTTGATTTTTTTAAGTCAAACTACACTGAAACTTTTAACCTTTTCTTAGATTAATTTTACTTTTTAAATGTATTTAAAATACATAGCAAGGTGATTATTTCAAGAGAATCCCAAAGTACTTGAATAAGGGCTATTGTAAAACTTAAAAGAAATATTTATATATACACATATATACACATACACACATGTATATATATATATATTCTTCATAATGGAGGACAATGTTTTGCAATATATAAATCATTCTATTTTTGTAAATTGTATATCACTTTAATTGAAAATGTTCTCTGCTAATTAATACTGTGAAACAAAATTGATGTTGTTTAACTAGAAGTTATGAGTATCTTAACTGCCTTTATTCCTTTTCAAAAAGGAAAAAGCTATAGAACATTTTGTAGATGAAACTACTGTTAATGAATTAATATTGTGAATGAAAATCAAAATCCATACTTTAAAGGTAATCATGTTACTAACAACCTATTTTTGAATTCATAAAGACTTCTTTATAAATGATGTTTTGTGAGCACAGTAAAATAGACCATTATACTATGTATATGTTTGATACAGCGTCGCCAAAACTAGTGTTGTTTCTAAGTGCCTCTCACAAAAGATCCTGGATGGAGGAGTAAGATGAAATATTATGCTATTATATGATACTGTTTGTAAAGCTACCAATGTGCTAGCAAGGTATTAATGACAAGGAATTATTACTGTTTCTGTTGTGAAGTTAGATTTTGCATATTGTATCTATCAAAATATGTTTGGGTTTAGATTTTAAGTTGTCTACTGAGCAGAATTCTGCATTGGTTTTCCAGTCCTGTTAAAAGTTTAGAAACTTCATATGTGTCATCACAGCTTTTGTAAAGTATCCTTAATATTTTATGACATTCTACCACGGTGGTAAAGTTGTTTGTGTTTGTGTGTATAATTGACTGCTGAGACACAAAGTGCTCAAACACTACATGGAAATTATTCCTTCAAAGGCACATTCAGAGAATCATGTCACTCTTGTGCTGAAGGTAAGTATTATAATTGTATTTACTATATACTTAAAACCCAGATTATTTATTCCTAGTAGTGAATTTGAAATAACTTATTTAAAGCAGTGACCTTTTTCAAGACCTACAGAAACAACGTATTTTAATATTGGTTTTTAATCTAATTGTAAGATTTAGATCACTGAAATTTCTTTCTTTTTTTTTTTTTTTAATATCCAGCTTTTAAGTTCAGGGTTACATGTGCAGGATATGCAGGTTTCTTGCATAGGTAAATGTGTCATGGTGGTTTGCTGCACAGATCATCCCATCACCCAGGTATTAACCCCAGCATCCACTAGCTATTCTAACTGATCCTCTTTCTCCTCCCAGCCCCCACCCTCTGCCAGACACCAGTGTGTGGTGTTCCTTCCACCATTGAGTCCAATATGTTCTTATCACTTAGCTCCCACTTAGAACATGCAGTATTTGGTTTTCTGTTCCTATGTTAGTTTGCTCAGGATAATCGCCTCCAGCTTCATCTGTGTCCCTGCAAAGGACGTGATCTCATTCCTTTTTGTGACTGCATAGTACTCCATGGTGTACGTTTTCTTTATCCAGTCCATCACTGACGGGCATTTAAGTTAGATTCCATGCCTTTGCGATTGTGAATAGTGCTGCAGTGAACATCCATGTGCGCATTTTTATAAGAAAACAGTTTACATTCCTTTTATGTAATATCCAGTTACGGGTTTGCTGGCTCAAATGGTATTTCTGTCTTTGGGTCTTTCACAATGGCTGAACTGATTTACACTTCCACCAACAGTGTAAAAGTGTTCCTTTTTCTCCGCAACCTCGCTACCATCTGTTGTTTTTATGACTTTTTAATAATAGCCTTTCTGACTGGTGTGAGGTGGTGTCTCATTGTGGTTTTTATTTGCATTTCTCTAATGATCAGTAATACTGAGCTTTTTTCATGTGTAGGCCTCATGGATGTCTTCTTTTGAGAAGTGTCTGTTCATGTCCTTTACCCACTTTTTAATGGTTTTTTTTTCTTGTCAGTATGGTAAGTTCCTTATAGATGCTGGATATGAGACCTTTGTCATATGCACAGATTGTAAAAGTTTTCTCCCATTCTGTAGGTTGTCTTTTTACTCTGTTGATATTTTGTTTTGCTATGCAGAAGTTCTTTAGTTTAATCAGATCCCATGTGTCAGTTTTTGCTTTTGTTGCAATTGCTTTTGACATCTTCGTCATGCAATCTTTGTCCATTCCTATGTCCTGAATGGTATTGCCTAGGTTTTCTTCTAGAGTTTTTATAGTTTTGAGTTTTACATTTAAGTCTTTAATCCATCTTGAGTTGATTTTTGTATATGGTGTAAGGAAGATGTCCAGTTTCAATTTTCTGCACATGGCTAGTCAGTTCTCCTAGCACCTTTTATTAAATGGGAAATATTTTTCTCTTTTTTTTTTTTTTTTTTTTTTTTTTGGTCAGGTTTGTAGAAGATCAGATGGCTATAGGTAGGTGCGTGGTCTTATTCCTGAGTTCTCTATTCTGTTCCATTGGTCTCTGTGTGTCTGTTCTTGTAACAGCACTGTGCTGTTTTGGTTACTGTTGCCTTGTACTATAGTTGAAATTGGATAGTGTGATGCCTCCAGCTTTGTTCATTTTGCTTAGGATTGCCTTGGCTATTCAGGTTTGGCTTTTTTGTTTCGTTTTGTTCCATATGAATTTTAAAACAGTTTTTTTTCTAATTCTGTGAATAATGTTAATGGTAGTTTAATGGGAATAGCCCTGAATCTATAAATTGCTTTGGGCAGTATGGACATTTCTACGATATTGATTCTTCCTATCCATGAGCATGAAATTTTTTTCCATTTGTTTGTGTCCTCTCTGATTTCCTTGAGCAGTGGTTTGTAGTTCTGGAGGAGCTCCTCTCGTCCCTTATTAGCCGTATTCCTAGGTACTTTATTCTTTTTGTAGCAGTTGCGAATGGGAGTTCATTTGTGATTTGGCTCTTGGCTTGCCTGTTTTTGGTGTATAGGAATGCTAGCACTTTTTGCACATTGATTTTGTGTCCTGAGACTTCGCTGAAGTTGCTTATCAGCCTGAGCTTTTGGGCTGAGATGATGGGATTTTCTAGATATAGGATCATGTCATCGGCAAACAAAGATAGTTTGATTTCTCTCTTCCTATTTGAATACCTTTATTTCTTTCTCTCACCTGATTGCTCTCGCCAGAACTTCCAATACTATGATGAGTAGGAGTGATGAGAGAGGGCAACCTTGTCTTTCACAGGTTTTCAAGGGGAATGCTTTCAGCTTTTGCCCATTCAATGTGATGTTGGCTGAGGGCTTGTCATAGGTGGCTCTTATTATTTTGTAATATGTTCATTTAATACCTACTTTATTGAGAATTTTTAACATGAAGTGATGTTGAATTTTATCGAAGGCTATTCTATTGAGGTAATCATGTGGTTACCACATCTGTTGAGGTAATCATGTGGTTTTTGTCTGTAGTTCTGTTTATGTGATGAATCTCATTTATTTTGCTTTTTGTATGTTGAACCAACTTTGCATCCCAGGAATGAAGCCTACTTGATCGTGGTGGATAAGCTTTTTGATGTGCTGCTGTATTCAGTTTGCCAGTATTTTGTTTAGGATTTTTGCATCGATGTTCATCAGGGATATTGGCCTGAAGATTTTTTTGTTGTTGTATGTCTGCTAGGATTTGGTATCAGGCCGATGCTGCCCTCATAGAATGAGTTAGGGAGGAGTCCCTCCTTTTCAATTTTTTGAAATCATTTCAGGAGCAATGATAGCAACAAACTCTTCTTTGTACCTCTGGTGGAATTATCTGTGAATCCACCTGGTCTTGAACTTTCCTTGGTTGGTAGGCTATTATTACTGCCTCAGTTTCAGAGCCCATTATTGGTCCGTTCAGGGATTCAATTTCTTCCTGGTTCAGCCTTGGGAGGGTGTATGTGTCCAGGAATGTATGCGTTTCTTTAGATTTTCTAGTTTATGTGAATAGAGGTGTTCATAATATTATCTCATGGTAGTTTGTTTTTCTGTTGGGTCAGTGGTAACATCCCACTTATTTATGATTGTGTTTATTTGAATCTTTTTTCTTCATTAGTCTAGTGGTCTCATGTTTTACTAATTTTTTCAAAAAATTAGCTTCTGGCCAGGCACAGTGGCTCATGCCTGTAATCCCAGCACTTTGGGAGGCCGAGGCGGGTAGATCACGAGGTCAGGAGATTGAGACCATCCTGGCTAACATGGTGAAACCCTGTCTCTACCTAAAATACAAAAAGGAAAAAAAAGCCGGGCATAGTGGCGGGCGCCTGTAGTCTCAGCTACTCGGGAAGCTGAGGCAGGAGAATGGCGTGAACCTGGGAGGTGGAGCTTGCAGTTAGCCGAGATCACACCACTGCAGTCTAGTGGGTAACAGAGCGAGACTCCATCTCAAAAAAAAAAAAAAAAAAAAAAAAAAAGCTCCTGGATTGTTTGATTTTTTTGAAGGGTTTTTGTGTGTGTGTGTCTCTATCTTCAGTTCAGCTCTGATATTGGTTATTTCTTGTCTTCTGCTAGCTTTGGGGTTTGTTTGCCCTTGGTTTTTTAGTTATTTTATTTGGGATGTTAGGTTGTTGAGATCTTTACAGCTTTTTGATATGATCATTTAGTGCTATAAATTTCCCTGTTAACACTGCTTTAGCTGTGTCCCAGAGATGCTGGTAAGTTGTATATGAAATTTCTTTATATAATTTACCATGTTAAATATAACTTACAGCTAATAACTTCAGAATTGGAACTTCATAGAACTGTTGTCCATAGCAGATCTCATTTTGATTTAAATGACTCTCATTTTGGTTACTGTGGTACTCCTTCCTACCCCAAAAAAGTTACATTTTGCAATAATTCAGGGTAGAATTCATGTAGATAGAACTTCAGATATCTCAGGAGACCAGTATGAATGAATGAACTTGTAGGGACCCCTCTAATACGTTTCACATCCATTACGATACAACAGCGACCATACACTAAAGTAGTAGTACTCAATGTCTGTTCTTCAGATCAGTGGGCAGCTTCAGCAGCTTGGGAACATGTTAAAATTGAAAATTTTTGAGTCCCGCCTCAGAGCTGCCAGTTCAGAAACTCTTCATGTACCCTGTGTTATAAAAAGTCCTTCAGATGATTTTGATGTTTACTAAAGTTTCGGAGCCACTGCACTAAATGAAACTATTGGTAGCATTTGTGGACCGTAAATTGATGCTGTTTAATTTTTATTCACTTATGATCTGTTGTTTGTTGGAAGCTTTTTTGTGTTTCCCTCACTTGGAATTTCAAGGAAGTATCTAATTATTTTTATTCATTTATTTTGCTTAGTTTTACATTTAATTGAGAATAAGGTAGGTATCTGATTCTCCAAAAGTTCAGTATCTTTATTTTATGATTTAAACTTGTTGAGTTTTGCCTCTGGGTCCTGTCATTCTCCCAGCGAATAAAAATGTGGATGCTTGGGGAAGTGGAGGTGGACGGTGAATGGGAATACTCTTGTTTGATTTTTTTAACATTTACATTGTAAATAACATTAAATACCATTTGTCGTGCCCATGATAACTTCATCCAAAATATATATACTAGTCTGCTAAGATATGCCATAACAAAATAACACAGACTTGGTGGCTTAAACAACAGAAATTTTTCTTCTAATTCTGGAAGCTGGAAGTCTAAGATCAAGCTGTTGGTGGATTTGATTTCCCCTAAGGCCTCTCTCCTTGGCCTACAGACCACCACCTTCTCTCTGTGTCCTCACCTAGCCTTTTCTCGGTGTGCTGCATCCCTGGCCTCTCTTCCAGTTCTTATAAGGACCCCAGTCACACTGAATTTGAGCCCCATCCTTATGAACTCACTTAACCTTAATTACCTCTTTAAGGGCCCTGTCTCCAAACACAGTCATGTTAGGGGGTTAGGGCTTCAATGTATGAATCTGGGGGACAATTTAGTCTAAAATGGCATGTGACCGCCCAGTTTATGTACCTCCTCTCCAGAAACAAGCGTATGGTTGTTAACGTCTTCTCTTCAGCCTGAAGATACAGTGCAAGTATCTGTGGTCTGTTCCTACGTATGCTTTATTTTACTTTTTCTAAAAACTGGATTAAAAGTACAGCAATCCCAGTTAGAAATTGCTTATAATGCATTCATCTAATCAGCTCAGTGTTCTTGTTAAACAAACTTTTATTTCCATGTTTACTCTTGTTCTTTCTTGATAAGGTTATTTCATCAGTTTCACCTGCCATTATACCATGAATATGTTTCTGTTTTGCTAGTGTTTTTATTCTCACTGATCATATGTCCCTTCTTCGTCTCCCATACCGCTCCCAGCCTAGAGTTAATGAGCACCAACCACTGTGGCCACATACTGTCCCATGTTTGGATAACCTTATCCAGCATATACACCTAAATGGTGGTGGGTTTTTGGGGGGGGGGGGGTAGAAGAGGGGAGAGGGTCATTGTTTTTACAAAAATTAAATTTCATCTATTTTAGACATCCTTTCCCCCTGTCCTCCCCTTGTACTTTCCAACCTCCAGTTTCTTCTTTTTCTAATTAGCTTTGTAGGAGTGACTTAAAATAAAATGAAATAACATACCTCTGATAATACTAGAATGAAAATAAATGAGGCATGATTGGAGAGAATACACACATGGACACCAAAATTTCAAATATCCTTATTCATTCCATGTACAGTTCTCAGTGGGTATTTGAGACCTTCACTCCCATCCCCAGCCTCTCCTACTCAATGCCAGCTTCTGTGATGCTGGATGATCTTTTCTTTGCCTCACCAAGAAAACTGGAGATGTTAGGTATGATCCTCCTCTCAACTTTGTGCCTCCTATCTATAAATTCAGTTAATCAGTTGTTAACCAGCATGTAATAAAGGGATAAACATTGATAACCCGATACTATGTAGAAAATAGAAATAGAATGTGCTAGAAAATGAGCTTACAAATTTCAACATATGTCCGTTATTTCGGGAGTGTGTTTGCTCTTCTACAGAAGTAACCCAGAAAGCTCACTTTTTCCCCCAGACTAACTCATACAACATGTTTTCCCTCTAGCAGACGGCTCTTATTTTTTCAGTAATGTGGAGCTAGACCAGTATTCTTTTGCTGTATTTGTTTTGTGGAGTTATTGTATGTATTTTTAATTTTTTGAGACAGACTCGCTCTGTTGCCCAGGCTGCAGTGCAGTGGTGCAGTCTCCTCTCATTGCAACCTCCAACTCTCTGGCTCAAACAATCCTCCCACTTCAGCCTCTGAAGTAGCTGGGACTACATGTGCAAGCCACTGTGCTTGGCTGTGTTTTTTAATTTTTTGTAGAGATGAAGTCTCACTATATTGTCCAGGCTAGTCTCAAACTTCTAGACTCAAGTGATCCTTCCACCTCCGCCTCCCATACCGCTGTGATTATTACAGTGCAAGCTACTGCACCTAATCTAGACCAGTATTCCTAACTAGTTGTGCATCGAAAGCATATGAGGAACTTTTTCTTTTAAGTTTCCGGATGTTATCTCTCAGGTATTACAGGGCTTTTAATGTGAGAACTGGAGTTTAGATAGTTGCTTTTCCAGTTTTAAGATTTACCTGTGGCCCTACTGTGAGACTGCGATTGAGCCTAGCTACAGTAGGGTGGAGGAATTTGCTTTTTACAGTACCGTATGTCACATGAAAGGGCAGGGGTCTTCAGATGGCTGATGTTCTCTCGGCCATAGACCATGCCCCTTTTTGACGTGTGCTCTAGCCAAAGCTGCATGAAAATATTTTTCAGTCCCTACTGGATTTTTCTCTTATGAATGGTTAACAGTGCAGGCTCTGGAACCAAACTGCCTGGATTCAGATTCTGACTCTGCTGTTTATTCACTGCGTGTTGACCTTGAATGAGTGATTAACTTTTCCGTGCCTTAGACTCTTCATCTGTAAAATGGGCATTATGACACAACGCACCTTAGAAGATTTTTTAAAAGATTAAACGGGTTTCTAGATATAAAATGTTTAGAAACTGTCTGCCACATTAAGTATTCAATAATTGTCAGCCCTTTTTATAGTTTGTCAGCATTGTTTACTCCTGTTCTGGTTTTGAGGATCTTTGGCTTCCATCCTCTACCTGCATTCCTAGTCTTTTTTTTTTTTTTTTTTTCTTTCTACTTTAGGTTGTGCTCGAGGTTTGGTACTTGGCCCCTTTCTGACGCTTTTCACTTTTTCTAGTTGTATCTATTAGTTTGTCTTCTTATTCTGCCTTCATGATTCACAAGTCATTGTTTTGTGTGTGTGTGTTTGTATTTTTGAGACGGAGTCTCGCTCTGTCGCCCAGGCTGGGGTGCAGTGGCCGGATCTCAGCTCACTGCAAGCTCCGCCTCCCAGGTTCCCGCCATTCTCCTGCCTCAGCCTCCCAAGTAGCTGGGACTACAGGCGCCGCCACCACGCCCGGCTAGTTTTTTGTATTTTTTAGTAGAGACGGGGTTTCACCGTGTTAGCCAGGATGGTCTCGATCTCCGGACCTCGTGATCCGCCCGTCTCGGCCTCCCAGAGTGCTGGGATTACAGGCGTGAGCCACTGTGCCCGGCCCACAAGTCTTTGTTTTCTCGCCATACCCACGTGAGTTCTAAACCAATACATATTTGCAGTTGTCTTTTCAGCACATACACTTGGATGTTTCAAAGACACTTTCGACTTGGCACATCTGAATTCATCACTTTTTTCCAAATCTGATTGTCTCATACTCCCTTGATGAAATGATGTAATAATCCCAAAATGAATTATTCTGAATTCTACTTTTACTTGCCATTGATTACCAAGTGTCAACATGTCAGATTTTTTAATACTCCTTAGTACTATGGCTGATGAGGTCCATCTCTTAATTTGTTAGATTTGTCCTTGAGTAGCACTGTCTTTGATTTTGCCCCTGAAATTCATCTTCACACTGTTGACAGAATAATCTTTTAAAGTGGTTTGTTTTGTATGTCTGTGTGCCACTGCTGGACTGAGCTCTTATAGGAGATTGTATCTCTTGTTTTTGTAATCCTAGCACCTGTTAAAATAACTAGAAACTTAGAGGTGCAGTCTTGCAGGTTCTCTGACCCTACAGTCACCCTAGACCTGCACTAATACAGTTTTCATTAGCCATTAAATTTAAATAAAATTGGACATTCTGTTAATTAGTGATACTAGCTTTATTTCAAATGCTTATAGCCTCATGTGACTATGGACTACTATATTGGACAACATTTTAGAACATTTTGATTATCACAGGAAGTTTCCTTGGACAGAACTGCCCCAGCAGACCTTTGCTGATGTGGATGTTTTTCTGTATTAAATACATCCTTTTAACATTCAGACACCTCCCAAATGCTAACCTTAATAGATGGGCCTTCAGCATTTATGTCTCTCTATCTTGATCCTGCAACTGATGACTTGACTATGTCTGCTCTGCAGAAAGCACCACTACCAGCATGTGTCCACTCAGGAAAGCTGACACTACATATTTCAACAGAGGAGATGTGAGTACAGAGGCGTTAGAGAATAACCCGGGGATCACAACTGTAGGATGCAGCTACTAGTCCTAAGGGTAAGAAAACAAATGGGAAAAAGTTTGGGTTGCCAGAGCCTTAAAGCTCCACAAAGGGTCATCATGGCATTAGTGCTCAGACCCCTGAGGAGGCTCACCACCTACCTGCTCATGGTAATTCTGAGGGGTACAGTAACGACAGTTCTAGAAGTTTCGAAGCAATTGAAGGCTGGCATTTACTACCATTATTACAGAGCTGATAGGACTAGCCATGAGAGATGAACTAGATCTCGTTTCATCTTCCTTCCAACTTCTCTCTAGTACTTCCTACCGGTAGAACCTAATAAGCAGCAGTCAGAGGGGTCAGAGAAGTGTAGTTTGCCGAGTTCCGGCCCCAGCACACACAGCAGAGGACAGAAGGGTGGAACCCGCGCTGAGAAACAACAGATGAAGAACCAGCACACTGGTTTCTTTCAGGGACTCATTTTTATCTAAAGATAAACTCACTTTTATCTAAAGATAAAGATAATCCCTTAAACGCCAGATATTCAGGAATTTGTAGAGACACTCTGGGCCCTCAAGAATAAGTGTACTAGTTCAAATTGAAATCTTGTTACTCTTTTCTATTAAATGAGACTAATGCTGCTATATAGTGCTTAACTTTTAAAATTGACAGTGGATGAATGCATATTATAATCAGGTGTTCATGTCCATCCATTTATTAAGTGCCTACCACATGCCACACAATCTGTCAGGTTTGTATGTATATAAAATAAAACTTAGATAATAACACAAAAGTAATAATTCACCCCAATTCATCTATAAATCCAGAGTTAGGGACTGTTAACATTTTTGTGTTCATGCCTGTGGACATTTTCTGTGCATATGCATGTACACACATAACTCAAAATGTCATAAAAAGTTTATAAATGCAGATGTTTCCAAGAAAGTGTGTATTCATCTACCTCTCTTCTGTTGTATAGTCTTTGATTATAAGGAGAATGCTCCATTACTATTTATCTGTGTACATAGAGTGTAGGCTGCTACATATGTCTCTTTATACTTTACACACTTTGTCTTTCCACTAAAATTTCTCAATGTATAATTTCTGTCTGTGTCACTGAATATGTAGATTTAAAATTTTGAGCTACATTTTCAAACTGCCGTTCACCAAAGCTGTTACAATTTACACTGCGACCAATAGTGCATGAGACTGTTCTTTCATACACTCGGTAACAGAATATTACTGATCTTTAATATTTTTTATTGATAGCCAAAAGTGTATTCTTCGCATTTCAAAATTTTTAGTGAGAGTATATTCCAGTATGTTAATTGGTTATTTGTATTTCTTGTATACATCCTTTACACTTTTTCTTTTGGGTGTTTATGTCTGCAACTTGGCAGTAGCCCATATTAGGAATCATTATTACACATGTCGCAAATATTTTTACAATTTCTTTATTATTGTGTTATGACCATTCTTACATAGTCAAATCTGTTGCTCTACTATTTCTGCCTTAAGTATAATGTTTAGAATTTTCTCTGGTCAGGGTTATAAAAATACTCATGTTTCTCCTGATATTTTTATGATTTCATTTTTAGATCAGTCTTTAATGCAGTTGAGAGTTACCTTAAAGTAGTGAAATAGTCAACATTTTCTGTCAGTATTATCTGGTTGTCATGATACCATTTCCTCATTGATCTATTATGTAACTTCCACTAGATAATCATTTTTATATTTGATACTTACAAATACTATTCAGTTCTATTTTGTCTATTCAGCTACTTTCACTGATTTAATTATTGTTGCTTCTTGTTTGAATATGTATTTAAAATATTTGTTTTATAACTAATACAAGGTTTCATACCTAATAGGTCAAGTATTACTTCCCAATACATACACCTGTATCTCATAATTCCATACTCTTTTACAGATAAACTGTTGAATTATTTAATCTTCCTTCAAATACAGATTCTATTGGTATTCTGATTATAATACAGGATACATAGATACATAGGACATTGCATGGTTCACATAGAGAAATTGTGGCACCTTTTCAATATTAATATTCTTATTCATAAAGAATATTGTTTGTCCTATTAGGTTCATATGTTCCTCAGTAGAGTTTTTAGATAATTTTTATTTTTCTTTAGTCAGATATCTTAATGTGTTTTAATGTTCTTGTAGTATTTAGGAATGTGCTCCTTTTTTCTCCCCCTTTACAAAAATGGTTTCTAATTGAATATTTTCATTTTTTTAATCTCAGAACCTCTTCACACAAATTAGTAAGGGTCTCAAAGAACTTTTATGTTGGCAGGTATGTCTGCTAATATTTACCACTTCAGAAATTAAAAACTTAATTGAAAAGTGAGATGTCTATGTAACATTTATGTTAGCATAAATATTTTAAGTGAAAAAGGGCTAATTTTTTTGCCTAGCCCTTCTTTTGGAGGCTTGTAGGGAAATAAAATACTAATGATATATGTCCCTGTACTCACACTTCAAGAATAACACATAGAATTAACTTAAAATTTGGACTAGCAAAGACTCAACTATTGACCATCTTAAAAATTGATGGAAATCATTTTTCATGGTAGTCGTATGATTTCTTGGAAATTAGGCAATTTCTCAGGAAAATTAAAACTAAAGGTGACAGTGTGGTGCTTAGGTGTCTCTGTTAGTCTGGAAATACCACACTGTAAGTCAGCTGCTTTTTGCGTGGGTTGTACTTCCCTTGCCGCATAGTTTGAAAATGTCTCCAGGAGGAAAGTTTACCTGGTGTGCTTTACTGCTCTCATGTATTGCAGCCTTGTGCTATCCATTGTCCAGACACTGAAAAGAATTGCTTCATATATTTTTATCCAACTTTGATTATTAATGGCAGGAAAGTTAGTCAGATACCAACTGTTCCATAATGGTTAAATCTCAGAAATCTATAATTCTCATAGAAGATACCATAGGAGAGTATCTTTAAATATTGGAATAACAGTGAATCTCTTCACACACACACATACACACACACACAAATGAAACATGATGAACATTTTTGACAAATTTAACCACATTAAATATTCTGTCCATTAAGATTCCCTAAAGACGGTGGAAAGATGGAAGTTTAGAGGGAGAAGCTATTTGCAACATGCAAGGCAAGATGACAATGCATTAATAACAAAATTACATAAAGAATGGACTTGGGGCTTGAGTAAAATAATTATGACATGCTTTCTGAAATGTCCCCCAGATAGTTTCATAAAAAATGAAGCAAATAGGCTAATTAAAGAAGAACCCATAGACATCATGTTCAAAAGAACTGATGACAAAACTTGTTCATAACCCATAAAATACAAGTGGATGCACCTAGATAGCTACAATATTTTTGAAAGAGTTTGGCGGGTTTTGAAAATGTGAGGAGCCACAAAGTAGATTTGAAAAAAAAAAAAAAAAAACCCCACCTAGCACACATAACATTTAAATCAATACAAACGTGCCTGATATTAGAACAAAAAAAGGCTTGAACAAACTCTTTACAAAAAAATCATCATCATCATCAACGTGGAATGGTGTTCAGTCTTAGCAGCCAGGAAAATGCAAATTAAGGCCACAAGGAGATACTACCAAACACATGTAAACTGAAAAAACATTTAGCCATTCTCACTAGCAAGTGTTGGTGAAGTATATGTGGTAGTGGGAACACTCATTATACTGCTGTATGTGTAAGTCAGTCCAGCCACTTTGGATTACTTTTAAAAATGAAGTTACGAGTATATTCAGCAATTCCTAAATATTTTTTCTAAAGATATTTAGATACATGCGTATCATTTTACATGTACAAAATGTTCTTGGAAGCATAGTTTGTATTAGCAAAAACTGGAAACAAATATCCATCAAGAGTAAACATACTGCACTATATTCATATAATGGAATACTGTACTGCAATAGAGAGCAAACCACAGTGCATATATCAACAGGGGTGATGCACTATTGAGTGAAGTAAGACAAAAACACGTATAGTATAATTTACTTAATGTTCAAAAAAACCTTAGGTAAACCCAAAACATACAAGAATGCACTCATGGATGGTAAAACAAAAAAGGATTGCCATGTAAGTTAGATTAATCATTACTTGGAGGGAGGGAAGATGTATGGTTTGAAAGGGATATTTGGGAGTGGCTAGACTTGCTTCTAATACTCGATTTTGTAATCTGTAAGTTTGCAATTGAAGTTACATACTTGGGATTTAGAGTGGGATTGTCCCTTGGAGACATAAAGTTAAATACAAATATAAATTATCAGTTCAGAGATGCATTTATAGCCCAGGAAATTCATGATACCATGTAATGGAATGATTTTGCAAAGAGGAGAGGAGGGCTTATGACTTGAGTTCTGAGGAGCACTGAAAAGTTCTATGTTGGAGGGAAAATCTGCAAAGGAAATAGAGACGAATATTGAATGAAGTAGGAAAGTCTGTGTCTCTTAGGAGAATTCTTCCAAACGTAAGAAGTAGGCACCTATGTGAAGTGCTTCAGAGTAAAATGAGGATAGATGAGTAGGCAATCTTGAGAAGGGTTATTTCAGAATGGTGGGGACAAAGGCATGTCAGAGTGGCTTCAAGAGTTCAGTGGGGAGTTATTTTCCCAGAAGCAAGCATTGTACAGCTGGAAAACACTCCTATTAACAAGACACAGGATTGAAAAAAATATATTAATATTGAAACAGTTTTAATGCATTCCTTAGACTAAAAAGAAAGGAAACAATATTCTTAATGGTCAAGAATCAAGGAAACCTGAAATCATTTTGACCAGCTGATCTAAAAGGAAGAATAAATTACTCTTCCAATTTCCCTGTAGAAAATTTTACAAAATTGTTAACGTATGAAGGGGTGTGGCCAAAAATGAATAAAATTATAAAGATTACTGGATTTAACGATATCTTTTGGTATTTGTCATTTTTTGTAATTTTAATTTTCATCCTAAATAACTTTCTTCACAATTTTACATTTTAAAATTTAACAACTTGCCCTCCCACTATAAATTGGATCTTTGGGCAATGAAACATAATTCTGTTGAATAAGCAGAGGAAAAAACGTAGAGCCGAAGACCCATGCAAAAGGCAAACTTAACAGGAAAAAGGGAGAAAAGTTTCTCCCCAAAAAAGACAAGAAAACAACTTGTGTGGTTTTTGTTGTTTTTTTTGTTTTTTTTTTTAAATAATTTACTCTGGATGAAGGGAGCAATTCACACAAGCTGAGTATTTGGTTATGTGGGTTTGAGACTAGAATTGACATTGCATAGATAATCTGAAACATCTCAAAATGAGTACTTTTAACTGGCTCCAGGTCTGTAGTGATCCCAGGACCTGGCAGTAACAAAATTAAATCCTTTGTGAGTTTAATTGTTAAGTGTTGGCTTTGAGGAACATGGTATGTTACTTGATATATATAAGCTGGGACCAAAAGGTAAATATAAACATTTGTAGAAATTTACCATAAAAAAATTATTTCAGATGTGGATGCTGTAAGAATATTTGTCTCAATTTGACAGCAGTTTTGCATAGGGAAGGAAGAAAATTTTGAAAGAATTGAAAGAAATAGCATGACAAATATAATCATGTTTATCAAATTAATCATCACAAAAATGGGGCCTACATTATCTTTAGAGCCTCTCTCTAATTTCATGTTGAGGTGGTTTGGGAGAGGAACCTCCCAGATCCCCTTTCAAGGGAGCGTTTGCTGCTGGCACGTCCTTCAGGGTCTACCTCGGCTGCAGAGGGTCACTAGAGGGCATGCTTTTCCTGTGGTCACCCACATCTTGGGCCCGTGGATGCATGAGTAAGTCGTCAAGCCACTTTGGCTCAGTGCGGGTCCACATATGCCCTAGAGTCCTTCACTGGGTTGACCATGCCATTGATCATCATAGTTGTACTTCTCTCTCTGCCCAGTCCTAACTTTCCTAATTCTGTCCACAGATGCTGACTGCTCTAATCTCTGCTTCTGGAGGACCAACTTCTTCCATAAACTTACCCACATAATTTACTGTGATTCGGCTTCTTAGGAATACCGATGCAGAAACAGAACTCAATTCATCTTACAGGCAACTGTCTCTCATTATAGATTAGTCAATGAGTGTTTTGTTTAATAAACATGTCTATTAATTTCATTAATCCAAACTAGTTCACCTAATAGTACTCAAAATAATAAATGGTTAAGCTAGAGGCTTCCATAACATGAAAATTTACTAATAATTTTGTTAAATTTCTCTATGCTGTCACCAGTGTGTATATATTGGCCATTCTTTTGATCACTTTATTGATATTTTTTAAATGCTTGCAGTTGAAAAAAGGATAGTTATACCTAGATAACTTGATTGCTGTCTTCTAAATTCCCAGTAGGTGGTGTCATAATACTGTATTTAGGGAAATTTTTTAAAATTTATTTAATAAAGTGGAAAAAGAAAGTGCAAATGTGTTTACTTAAGTATATGTACTTTCATTGTAAAAGTGTTTTGGTTTTATTATGAGATGACACTGTTATAAACAACTTAATTCCTTGTATATTTCTTCAATTCACATTTTTACTAGAAAATATGTACTGACAGTTTTATTCTTTTATTCTCTAGAATGATACAATACTACATAGTCAAAAGAACAATGAGATGGCCAAAATGTTTAGAGAAATCTTTTCTCAGGATCTTTTTTTACTCTCATATCTTAGATATATGAAAAAAAAAACTGTACTGGTCTTAGAAGTCAAACCAGGATCTGTCATTATAATTACTGTCACTTTATTTACACGCAAAATATTTTCTATTTTTGGCTACCCTTTTCAAAAACTGTACATCATAAATAATTCACCTTTTTGGAATTTTGGCTATTTCTAGTTGAGTTGTAAGTAGTTCTAATTTTTCTACCTTACATTTTAGTAACCTTTGTGTTTACTTTCCCAATACAACATGTGCTCTGATAGTTACAACTCAGACAGTAGTGTGGCCTCTGTGCAAGGATGACTCTCAACAGTCCATGAAACATTCCACGTTTTTAGTGTCTTCCCAGCAGGGTCATAAGCCTTTTGCGTGTATGACCCGCAAATTAGTAGGTTCTTTTGTTTCATTTTGTGATCACCAAAATGCTTATATATAGTAGTGTTTGGTAAATACATATCGAATAAATGTGATGCTATGTAAGTTTAAATAATTCTCCTAGACTCTCCCTGTACTCCAGAGATTAGGTGACTTCAGTGTGAAATCTGTTATTTTGCTAATTTAGTGTTTGTGATACTTCAGTAGTCAAGAATCTGAAGATCTGTCCTCTCCATGGGTTGATTTTTAATGGAATGATGTAAATTGTTTTGAAAAAATTATAAATATTTCACTCATTTTTTAAAGTCTGGTAAAGAACTTAAAAGATTTTTTTCTTTCTATTTTCTAAAAGTTAAAAAATTAAGGTAATAAGTTTTCAAAAGTTTTTTTAGAATTCTGAGACATCTCATTAAATTCAAGGAAATGTTGAACACCTAGACCTTTGAAAGGGCAGGAAATGTGGCAATATCAGGGACTCTAGCAATAAGACTGACATTCTTTAGGAAAGTTTTTCTTCACTTTATTACTGAGTGTGGGATGCAATGGTTTGAAGGACCATTTTCTGAAAGCTCACTGGGGGCTACTGAATTTGATTCTAAATTCTAATGGCCTTCCATGTATGGAGAAAAACAATACTTTTTCCTGGGAGTCAAGGTTCATTACCTCCGGTATTATGAACTGAATTGTTCCCCCTTCCCCAAAGAAAAACTTTTCATTGTTTGAAGTCCTGACCCCGAGTACAGTAACCACAAATGTGACTATATTCAGAGATAGAGCTTTAAAGAGACAAGTTAAAATGAGGTCGTCCGGGTGCAGTGGCTCAAGCCTGTAATCCCAGCACTTTGGGAGGCCAAGACGGGCGGATCACGAGGTCAGGAGATCGAGACCATTGTGGCTAACACCGTGAAACCCCATCTCTACTAAAAAAAATACAAAAAACTAGCTGGGCGCGGTGGCGGCGCCTGTAGTCCCAACTACTCAGGAGACTGAGGCAGGAGAATGGTGTGAACCCGGGAGGCAGAGCTTGCAGTGAGCCGAGATCACGCCCCTGCACTCCAGCCTGGGCGACAGAGCGAGACTCCGTCTCAAAAAAAAAAAATTGAGGTCGTTAGGATAAGCCCTTATACAATATAGGCATATTATAAGGGGAGAAAATTTACACAGAGGCACAGAAATAGAAGACCATGTGAAAACACAAGGAGAAGATAGCCAATCTACAAGCCAAGGAGAGGGACCTTGGAAGAAACCAACCCCACTGACACCATGATCTTGACAAGTAGCCTCTAAAATTGTGAGAAAATAAATGTATGCCACCCAGACTGTGGTACTTCATTATAACAGCCCTAGAAAACTAATAGATCTTCTTTTTAGTTTCTTCCCTTGGTGCAAATGTCCTCAATATTTTTTCTTTGCCTAAAAATGAAAGAGAAGTTTTGTAGAATGTAGTTGTGGGAGTATTACTAACAGAGATTATGTCAATAGGTCCAAGTCAGAGCCTAAAATTGTACATCTCTAGCAAGCACCCCAGTTTATTGTAATCAAGGTTGTCGGTAGTGGCATCAGAAGACCAACATTATGATGTGGCATTCTTTTCTTTGAATTCCATAAAAATTTCAATTATATCCTTTGGTGAGAAATGACTTCTGTGGGGAGTATCCTACAATTTAGATTCAAAAACAGAGTCAAGAACTAAAATTTTTAGTGGAGTTTTTATTTCTCCATGAAATGGTATAATCAGTTGCTTTAGAGCAATACTCCCTGTAAAACAAACAAACAAAAAACTAGCAAAGGTACAAAATAAAGTACAAATAACTATTTGACGGCATCGGCAAACTACCTGAGTAATGAAGATTGAAGATTTGCGGGGCTAGAATGCAGAAAAGAATGGAAGCTCAGATGGATAACCTCAGCACCAGGTACTGCTTTTCTTTTGAATGCACTTACTAATTTCTAAAGAGGCAGTTCAGAGGTAGGGAAGCTGAGCAATGCTTTCCACCGACTCATGCAGCCAGGGGACTGGGAGAGAACAAAAATTGGAATTTAGTACCCATCCATGATGAGAGGGCTTGGAAAACACATTTTGCTGGCACCATGAAGGGTTATGCTGTATAACTACAGGTAAACAAAAATAGGCCAGCCCTCAAAAGGACTAAAGCTTAGATTTGACTCATTTCAATGACTGCCAATATTAATATGAGCTGGGTTTGTTACTGCCTCTAGTAGAGTTGCATGCTAGCTAAATCCTGATAGGCAGAGCAAGATGGCCACATAGAAGGCTCCACCAGTTGTCCCCCCACCTACAGGAACACCACATTTAATCACTACACACACACAATCGCTTTCATAAGAACCAAAAATAAGGTGAGCACTCACAGTACGTAGTTTTAACTTCATATCACTGAATAAGGTGAGCACTTCACACTACCCAGTTTTACCTAGTTTTAACTTCATATCACTGAAAGAAAGGAAAGACAGTCTTTAATCACTGACACCACTACTCCCCCATCCCCCATGAGCAGCCTTGTGGCATGAAGAGAGAATCTATGTGTTTGGGAGAGGAAGCACACAGCAATTGTGAGACATTGCATTAAACTCAGTGCTACCCTGTCATAGTAGAAAGTGAAACCAGGCTGAACTGGGCTGATGCCCACCCATGTTGGAAATATTTAAACCAGCCCTAGCCAGAGGGGAATTGCCTATCTGGTGGTCAGAACTTGAGTTCTGGCAAGACTCGCTGCCACAGGCTAGAGTGCTCTGGTGCCCTAAATTAACTTGAAAGGCAGTCTAGTATAGGTGAATCCAGGTGCTGAACTTGGCTCAGAACCACTGGACTTGGCGGTGGAGCGGGGCATGTAACTTACGGAGATACCAGCCAGGATAGCTAAGGGAGGGCTTGTGCCACTACCCCCCAAACCCCAGGCAGCACAGCTTGGGGCTCCAAAAACCCCTTCCTTCCACTTGAGGAGAAGGGTGTGGGGGTGTAGTAAGGAGAGGTTTCTCCTGCATGTTGGATACCAGCTCAGCCACAATAGGATAGGGCACTAGTTAGAGTCATGAACCCTCATTTCCAGGCCCTGGCTCCTGGGTGACATTTCTAGACACAGATCAGAAGGGAATCTGTTGCTTTGAGGGGAAGAGCCCAGTCTTGGCAGGATTCATCACCTACTCACTGAAGAACGCTTAGGCCCTGTATAAGCAGCAGTAATATCCATGTAGTATGCTGTGGGCCTGGGCTGAGACTGAGACTTGGTGACTTCAGGTACCAGCGTGGCCACGAGGGAGTAGTGCACCAAATGGGCTCTTGGAGATCTCTGATTTAGGCCTTGGCTCTTGGAGAGAATGTCTGGACCTGCCCGTGAAAAGATAGGGAAGAGTGAGAAGAACTACATCTCATCGTTTGGGGGCCAGCTCAGCTGCAGTAAAATAGAATTCCAGGTAGACATCTCAGATTTTTGACTCCGGACCCTGGCTTCCAGATAGCACCTCTGGACATGCCCAAGGCTTGGGGGAGCTCACTGCCCTGAAGGGAAGGACACATGCCTGGCTGGCTTTGCCATCACCTGATTTGTAGAGCCCCAGGGACTTGAGTGAACATAGGCAGTAGCCAGGTCATGGTTACAGTGGACCTTGGATGAGACACAGTGCTGTGCTGCCTTCAGGTCTAACCCAGTGCAGTCCCAGTAGTAGTGGCCACAGGGGTGCTTGTGTCACCTCACCTCCAGGTGGCTCAGAATGGAGAAAGACTCTTTGTGAGAAAATAAGAGAAAAAGAGTCTATGTCTAGTAATTCAGAGAAGTCTACCAGATCTTTCCCTAGACCACCAAAGTGGTACATCTACAAGCCTGCAAGAACCACAGCATGACTGGGCTTGGGGTGCCCCCTAAGGCAGATATGAATTAGGTCACAACATCCAAGTCCTTTTGAATGTCTGGAAAGCCTTCACAAGGAAAATGGGTAGAAACAAGCCCAGACTATGAAGACTATAATAAATACCTAACTCTTCAATGCCCAGACACAGATGAGCATCCATAACCATAAAGACCATCCAGGAAAACGTAACCTTGCCAGATGAACTAAATCAGGCACCAGGGATCAATTCTGGAGAAACAGACCTTTTGGATGGTTAATTCAAAATAGCTGTGTTGAGGAAGCTCAAAGAAATTCAAGATCACACAGAGAAGGAATTCAGAATTCTATCAAATTCAACAGAGATTGAAATAATTAAAAGGAATGAAGCAGAAATACTGGAGTTGAGACATGCAGCTGGCACACTGAAGAATGCATCAGAATTTTGTAATAGCAGAATTGATTAAGCAGAAGAAAGTGAGCTTGAAGAGAAGCTCTTTGAAAATACACAGAGGAAGCAAAAGAAAAAAAAAAAACATG